AAGTTGGCCTAATTTCCATTTATTACATAGTAAGATATTAGAATATACCAAGCAAGTCGAATATTTTCGTATAGTTTCTATGGGCGGACACCACAGTTATTGAAGTTATATGTTTTGGAGTTAAACCTAAGCTTCAAACGACAAGCGTAGAACTCACACAGATGTGGCAGGTATTACAAAGGTATACACGGCTTTTCGTGAATCGAATAATAACTTTGATACGTCAGAATATTTCACAAACTTAAACTATATTTTATATTTTCAAGACATTCTTGAGAGTGCTAGAGAAACTGAGCTGATATTTCTCAGTATTTCGTATTCGTCTATTTCTCAAGATTCGTCTTTGATTTCGGCTTGTTACTTATTAATGCGGTATTAATGGCGTGCGAAAGAGGTGGACAGAATTTTCTAAATATTTGTCAACTTTCAATTGCTGCTGGGTTATAAATTTACGACTTTCTATCAACAACGATCAATTTAAGTTCCATTTTAGTATTTAGTAATAATTGAAAAGCTGCAAGTAGACGAAGAACTCAGCTTGAAGAAGCCATAACTTTATCGGCCATTTTTCATACAAAAGTACAACAGCTTGTCAATGAAATCAAATTTGTGAGGCGAAGATTAAGTTTAGAACGCGAACGCAGCATCATCAGCAACATCAGCCAGCGGTTGGTTGCAGCCGTTATGATGGCAGCAACTTTGCGAGCGAACGATTTGTGGCAAATCGTTTTTCAATACTTCTTTTTCGACGGATTTTCCGTTGCATTATTTAACGTTGCTTTTTTTGTATTTGTTATTGCTGTTTTGCTTTATAACAGCAATTTTTCCAGCATTTTCTTCAGCGGGTAATACATTTTTTTAATAAACAACAATAACAACACAAATGCTTTGTCTGGCTGGCAGTCGAGCACAATTGCACATAACTTGTTGCCGCTTAGCGTTGTTGTAACGCATGCTTAGCGTGCATGTACCGTACATACTGCCATGTGTATATGTGTACAACCTAGTGTGTATATGTGTGTGTGCGACTTGGAAGTTTTCCTAAACGATTTTTATGCGCACATTAACCGCGTGTGCCCCCCGCCGTTGTGGCATCGTGTATCATAATTCATGCGCAGCGGCAGCGATTACCCACAACCCACACCGGCAACAACTGTAATGGCAACAGCGATAATAACAACAGCAATGGTAACAGTAACAATAATGGCAAGAATGGCAAATCCGACAATGGCAGCAGCAGCAAAACTAAGAGGCAGCATTGTATTGCTTTCTATTTTTCCACAGGATGTTGCAAGCAGATCATCATGGCCATCTTTAACGCCATTTATGCCACGCAACCAGCCGCACGAACGGCATTGGCTGCAACAACAACGACAGCCGCAACAATCGCGCTAACATTGTGGTTGCCAACAACAATAAGCAACTCATCAACGAAATCCAACTATGTACAATGAGGCAGCCGAAAAACAGTTACAGCCAAACACAACAAAAAGCGCTGTGTGGCAAAGCTGTTTGCAAAGGCAAGAAAAACAAACGAATATGAAAAAAAAGATATGAAAAGAAGAACCTCAAAGCTTGGCAAGCAATAAAAAATATATAAACAACAACAGCAACAAAAAAACGTAAGAAAACAGCGTGGATTTATTTATAACGGTTCTCAGTTGTCTTCACCGTAATTGTTTCCTTTATATATCCGCCATTTGTTGCCGTTACGTTTCGGTCGATTCTCTTCTTTGCTTTGCTTTGCACATCAGCGCCTGGATTGAATTCCCAAACATGACACGCTCGCTCCTCCTGCATATGCACCCGCCTTTGGTCACCATCACCGGTCCCAGCGGGTTGTGGCGAAACTTTCTGCAACCTTTACAAAACTAACTCGCTTTTTTCTCTGCATTTCCCGCTTTTTTGTTAGCCCCTCATGTACCGGGCTAACGAAAACCAGCGAAGATCGGCCGAATTAAAGAAATTATAACAAAGCTGCAAACTGCAGAATTGCAAAACGGCAAAACTTGTTAGCAATGTGGGCGGCGATTTCTTGCTTATGAATTCTTCTTAGGCTTTTGTGTGCAGCTTGCACTCTACGGTCGAATTATGCGCTACATTGAGCTGCATGTTAAGCCGCTTTATAGTTTAGTAAGTAGACACGTAGGCTTGCACTTATTCACACTTATATTTGTCTTTTGAATACACGGTGATATTATAAAGCCCAGCGATCTTTTCTAAAAAATAAAAATAAAACAAGAAGAAACGTTAATTTCGGTTACACCGAAGCTATAATACCCTTCACAAATACACAGATTCCTTGCAGGAACTTGATTCCGATCGTTCAATTTGTATGGCAGCTATATTATATAGTGATCTGATCTATACAATTTCTTCGGAGACTACATTGTTGCCTTAAATAAAAATGCTTGCCAAACTTCGTGAAGATACCTCGTCAATTGAAAGAGTTTTCAATACAAGCACTTAATTCCGATTGTTCAATTTGTATGGCAGCTAACTTCTATAGTGTTCCGATCTAAACAATTAAATTGTTGCTTTAGAAAATTACCCATGCCAAATTTCCAAAAGATAATACAAGAAATAAAAAAGTTTCTCATACAAGCAATTCCGATCGTTAAATGGAACATATTGAAGCCTGTGGGGCATAAGGACGATGTACGGATCAGAGTGAGATAGAATGCCTTAAGAACATGCAGTATCGTCAAGGGCATGTGCAAGAGCCCCGATGAAAAACAGGCGTTCTTTCTACTCACAAGATCTCGAAGGGACCGCAGGATGGTTGTTGGCCTAATATCAGGTCACAATTCACTACATGCAGAAAGTCCATGGAAGTAGACATGAGAGAGACGTACGTACGTACGTCTTGTGCAGCCTTATCTAGAACTTACCTTAGACATCTTGTAGCTTCGCTGCTCAAAGAAAGATGAAGCATCAAAATTAAATATCAAGTCTCTCTTATGCTTCGCAAAAAGCGTTCAAATTAAAATTAACCTCTATTTGGCTTTACTAATGTCCAGTTACTAACCTAACCCCTACAATAATAATAATTATCAAATTTCCAAACATATTGAGTTAATTTGAAACCGAACACAAAAGCAGCCACGGAAACTTTTTGAAAACGAATATAAATACGAATGCCGAGCTACGTAGCAGTAAACACAAAGCTTGTTGTCCGAGGACGAGCAACTCGGTAACCTTCGTCTTTTCTCGTCGCTGACTCGTCAACAAAATACGAGTTTCGCCAACAAAAGTCTTCCTGTGTGAATCAGCACTAACATTTTGTGAGCTATTGAAACCTGGGATCTTATCTTTATAATTATTTCAAGCTAGGATGAAGGGAAGGTCTTCCAGCGAATTTTTTTTAAATTTTATTGACTTTAATTCTAACGAATTTAATGTTAAATCCATAGCAGATCCAAAAATCACCCCGATCGATAATTTAATGAAAAACTATCCCCTCGCGATTTATTACAATTCTGTTTAAACTCCATCGCATAATAGCAGGATACTACTGCGAGAAGATATAAGCCACAAACCACTCAAAGTCTTTGCTATATTTTTTTAGCACCTCTACTGCATGAATTATCAGCCTGTTCCTATTAATAAATAAGCTAATACAGATAGTTTAAGTCATAAGTTTGTCGGCGAGTACGTGCAACGTGCCACAAACAACGAAAGCGCGCTCTGCTCTTTAAGGCCACACTTTATGAGCCCAATTGAAGATACTAATTTTCGCCATGTTCGCTAAATTACCGTGCAATTTGATGTTTGCCAGACAGATTTCTGACTTTGGCTTTGTTTCGCAATTTTTTTCTTTTCACATTTATTTTCTCCTTCTTTTGTTTGTTAAATGAGTGTGATAATTTTTAGCGCGGAGGCAAGACTTTGGCCGCCGCCATTATTGAGTGCGCGAAAACTTAGAAAACTTTCAGTCTCCGGCAAGGAAATGGCCTATTGGTTGTGATTTAATGTCTGGTATATATAGAAATGTACAGATGTTTGCATGTATGTATTTAGAAGACTATAGTCCTCGTTGCATGAATGGCAATGTTTTTGTAATCGCTTGTTTATGCGGCGCACTTAGAGGTGGCGTGGATAATCACGATTGTAATAAGACAATATTTATGATTCCGAGTGTTTAACTCAAATAAATTTATGAGTTGCTGCGAAAATTAAAGTTTAGCATCTTACTGAGTTTGTATTGTAGTACAGTATTGCGTAGAATGGATGATTTTGAGAAGCACGTAATTATATGCAGTGACTTTAGCATCCTGCGAACTTCGTGAACATTATTACTTTATATTTACTTAAGTATATATTTGTTTGAGCGAAGTTTCATTAAACCTTTATGACTAATTTTTAATGCACATACATATATATTAATGTGATTATCTCTATATTTTAAGAACTTTAAGAGGTTATATCCACATGCAAATTTCAAAAAATCGCCATTTTGTTAATAATCAAAATTTTGTTTAGTTCTTAAATCACTATCTGTATTACTCTAAAAAATTATAAATTTTTCTATGGCTTTTAGATTTAAGATAACTTTAGGCAAAAAAATCTTCCTTACCGCCAGGTAACTTTATTCGGAAGTACTCTTGGAGATCGGCTATGGAATCAAGGGCATCCAAAGTGTTTCAAAATGAATCGCCAATTACTAAGGTACACTAAATTCTGTGTATACACATTTTTATTTTATTTTTTAAATGAAGCACCTCTATATAAAAAAAATAACTTTAAAACGCGTTTTTCCCGACATGCAAGTGGAGATAACTCCTTAAAGTTTACCTGTAATATCCCAAATGAGTTACTTTTGTTGCAAAGGTTGCAAAAGATCGAGATTCGGTTAAAATTTTGGTTAAAAGAAAAGCTCTTATAACTAGATTTTCAATCTGACAATATACTGTTTTGAAATCTGGCACACATTTTAGTATCATTATTTTAACTTAACTGGAAAAGAACGCTCGATTAATAATATACTTGTATATTTTCAGCGACTGTCTTTCCAAAGGAGTAAATACCGAAAGAATAAAACAGTAAGTAGCGTTAATTGTCTTCTTGTTATCTCGTCATGTTTTGATTATAAATGAGCTACAATTCTCATACAGTTAGCAGTGAATTTTGAAGATTTTAAGAGTCCATAGATAAAAGTTCAATGTTTATTATACCCTGAACAGGGTATATTAAGTTTGCCACGAAGTTTGTAACACCCAGAAGGAAACGTCGGAGACCCTATAAAATATATATATAAATGATCAGCGTGATCAGCTGAGTTGATTTAACCATGCCCGTCTGTCTGTCTGTCCGTCTGTCTGTATATATACAAACTAGTCCCTCAGTTTTTATGCTATCGATCTGAAATTTTGCACCTGTCCTTTTCTAACAAAGAAGCTGCTCATTTGTCGGAGCGGCCGATATCGGACCCCTATAGCATATAGCTGCCATACAAACTGAACAATCGGAATCAAGTGCTTGTATGGAAAACTCTTTCATTTGACGAGTTATCTTCACGAAACTTGGCATGGATTATTATTTAAGGCAATAATCTAATCGCCAAAGAAATTGTATAGATCGGATGACTATAGCATATAGCTGCCATATTAACTAAACGATCGGAGTAAAGTGCTTGCATAAAAAAATTTTTTATTTGACGAGGTATCTTCACGAAATTAGGCACGAGTTATTGCTTAAGGCAACAAATTATTCTCCACAGTAATTGGTCAGATCAGATCACTATATCATATAGCTGCCATACAAATTAAACGTTCGGAATCAAGTTCTTATAAGGGGCCTTTGTATTTGTGAAGGGTATTATAGCTTCGGCGCTACCGAAGTTAACGTTTTTTCTTGTTTGTTTCTAATTTCAGGGCACTTGATTTGAGTAAAACATTTTCTACTAAAATATTTTCATTTTATATATATAAATACGTTTGTATTGTTGTTTTTAGTATGATTCCCTAATATATAGTTTAATGTATATGGTATAGTGTTTTTTATACAAGTAGGGTAAATAAAGTTAGTAGTAGTTAAAAATCATATACCATAATAATTTCAGATTTAGTTTGCTTAGCTTTACAAAAATAACGGTCGTACTTAATTTATAGCAATGCCATATCGATTCATCCACACAGCTCAATATCACTCAATTGTTATATAATTCGGTAAACAACCTTCTATAGATTTGAAATTGGTCGACATGCAATATAAAGATGTCCAGCTTTGCGAATTTCAGGCAGTGCAAAATCAGAAGTGCTTATGTGTTTTTTAAAAAGTTCCAGAAACTTTAGGACTAAAGCATATGATCTAGAAACATATCAACAGTTCATTATCTTATTCTTTGAAAGTGCGTGAAGTCTATAAAAAGAAGTTCATTTATGGAAAACTGATCGCTGCAACAGTACTGTATATAGAAACTGCCTTTAATTTTGTACAGCTGCAGAATGGCGAATCGAACAAACTACTGGTATATATACGCTACAATTCATATAGTATATTATCGGAGTTATCGCATAAGAGCTCGTTAAAGTATTCAAGAACAATATTTTCAGATATTCTCTCCACGGCAATATATGTTTCGAGATTAAGGGTGTATATATTCAAGGACAATCGGTATTTTTTAGTTAAATGTGTGTTTACTCGTAATTTCGTATTTTCTGTAAATTTCGGTAAAATATGCTGTTATCTATAATAAAATTTAAAATATATTTTCTTGAAAGATCATCCATAAACAACAACTCCGGGCTCTAATTCAAAAGAAAATATTCCCTTCGGTATGCGGCAACAAAAAACAATTTAATATTTGAATATTTCAAAACGCCGAAATTGATATTCTCTTGATATTTGCTATAGGTGAAACTAAATATACCCGAAACAAAATGCCGACACTTGCCAAATTTTATAGACACATATTATTTTAATTTAACATTTTGTCATGAATTTGGGTAAGAGAAATATGTAAAACTAAGTGAGAAGCAATATATCTTCAACTTGGCATTTTAAGCGCCTAAAGCCAAAATTCCTCGGCCGCAGTAGGCGAACCAAATTTCGAAAAATGATGAATGCTTGAATATAAATAAAGCCATGCATTTAGGCTTGTCCTGCCAACATTTGTCAGCTGCCACAGACACACACACATATACCTATACACAAATATGTGCACATACGAGAGAGAGATGACTTTTCCTTCCAGCAGTGCAGTTAATCCTTCAAGATTTTCAGACTACCCACTCAGCCAACATCATTATTATTTTTCGAGAGATTTTTATGTTATTTTGCTTGAAGAAACCTTAATTAATTTTCCGTTTTGGTACTTGAAACGTCTTTTTGGCAATATTTCAAAAATGCAGAGATCAACCAACCGAACGGACAACGGAACGGCAGTGCGACAACCGGTTTAACAAATCGACAGAGCATACCGAGGCGCACTGACAATGGCCAGCAAATCACCTGCTTCTTCTTCTTGCTCATGCTTCGCCGCTGTTTGGCGCTGACCACTTGTGCTTAAATAATCCTGCTTAAAGCAATTTATACATCAGACAAAATTTCGGACAGCATTCACGGCAACTTGTTTATCTTGGAAACGTTTAAGAAAGCAGAAATTTTGTGTGGCCAACATGTGAAATTCGAGCTCGCCGCAGTGCAACAGCAAGTGTGGCAACATCTGTGGCATGTAGGACAGCGCATAACCGAGTAATATATAAAATACACAACTGTTTTTTGAAAATAATTGGAAAAATATTCTCTGCATAAGTGCCTACAGACGTCTCTTTGCATGCCTTGGCTTTTGACGAAGTAAGAAGAAGTTGAGATATTTCGTGTTTTCAATCACTCGTATGGCCATCAGGCGAAATTCTTCAATTTAATTTTCTTTCACTTAAGACGAAGTGGCATTTTGTATGTTACTATATTCATTTGCATTCGTCTGACGGGTTGCACAAGCTGCGCACCCAAAAGGCGGACACTCCTTCTGCAACCCTCACTGCCCACACCTTATGCTGGTCCACAGCTAATAAAGTAAATGGTTGACATAATTTACAATTACTAAATCTGGTATATTAACTTTTTATTGCTCTACTTTTCTTACGACGAGATATGTTTGACAAATCAGTGCTTTTTTGAATTTGCTGCTTTGCTAAATACAACCCTTATGAGCTTACCAGACCAATGTTAGATATTTACTTAGAAGATGACCTATCATAGAGTTACTTTGTCGACCTTTAAGCCTATTATTGTAGATGTTATCATCGTACATTCAAAAGAAACAAAATGATACGTACAAGCAATTATTGAATATATAAATGACATATAGAATATAATAAATAAGACTTCTTTCGCTAACCTAGCTAATGAATTCCATTCGGAAATGCTAATCGATGTAGAATCATTTTATAGCAAACCATGAAGAATTTTGAAATTTATTTGTTTTTTTTTTTGTCAGACAAGATTGGTTTTTGGGATGTGAAAGCTTTACTTGTTTTGTCGCTAACATGAAGCCAAGTGATTAACGAATTTATCAGCATGTTCAACTACCCTCGTATTTCACTTTTTTTGTTTTTACTTTCCTTTTTTTACTTTATTGGCAAGTACATGTCAAATAAACAAGTAAATGTATTATTTTTTCTCCAGGCAAGTGTGCGCTATTTGCTTGCGTGTGTGACTGCCCAACCTTTGACCATACAGAAATCCATAAATGTCATCAACGTCATTTCTATTAAGATTTATTGACGTGTGAATGAACGGTGCTCGCCTTCAATACCATTACTTTTTTCCACATTCATATTGCTTCCGATTTACAAGCACACCCACATATGCATACAAGTACAAATGTGAGACCTATGTGTGAGTGTGTGTGCATGTGCGTTCAACACCAATTGGCATAATAAAAACCAGCAAACCTCCCTCTGACCATAACTGAGTATTTGTGATTTTTTAAATGCCGTCACCATCAGCATTCACTCCATTAATGCCATTAATGTGGTAGCCGAATGAATGATTCAACCGAATCTTTCATTTGGATTGTAATGTGCGTCATTTTTTTTCTGAATGTCTGTTTGTTTGGGTGTGTGCGCGCTGAAGCTGCGTTTGCGCAATGGCACCGCGTACACCGCAAAGCCACATAAACATCAGCAGCAACAATAACAACTACAATGGCAGCACTCATCAGAAGCCGCAGCACAAAAGCAAATTACCTCTTCGCAGTTCACTTTTTATTGCCTCTTTCGCGGATTTTAGCAAATTGATTTAAATTGTAGCGTTTGTGCCGATTTTTACTGTTACCGTCGCTATTGTTGTTGTAGCATTTGCCTTTCTTACTTTGTACGGCTCGCCTCCGGTTCGTGTCGCCGGTGTCTTGGCAGCTCAGCTTCACTGAGTGCTCGCTGGCTGACTGCTTGGCTGTCGCTTGTCTGTTGGCGGATTCCGGCTTCGCTCACCGTTTCGTTCGTGCACCGGTTGAGTAACTGTGTCTGTCTGTCTGCCTGTCGGCGAGTTATGGTTTAACAGTTGGCAATTGCGCAAAATTTATTGTACGGCCTTTGTTTTCTTCCTTTAAGATTTCTTTCTGTCTTGAATCCAATTGCTTCTTAATACTTTTGTACATTTTTTTAAAGCTTAAACCTCTTTAGGAGCGTCATTAGCTTAAACGGTGTCATTTCTTGGTAGAGAATTCAATAAAAATTATTTTAATTGCCATTTTGAATGCATAAATTATACGCATATTTGCGTGTGCCGACCGCAAAATATATTTATGTATCATGTGAAAAAATCTTAGATTTATGTAAATATGTGCGAAATTCGAAAGTTCTTGAGAAAACGACATAAGAAAATTCTTAGAAAGGCTAGTGTTATATTTTTATTTTAAATATAAACAGCGATTTTGAGGAGTCGAAAGACTCAAGCACAAAACCGAGTCTTTTGAATACGTATCATCTTTAAATCGATAATCAATGGCTATTATAGACTTCTTCGGTAAGTTTAGGAGGTAGGTTGGAGCTAAAATCAGTTTAATAACTATCATTTAATAAATAATTTTAATCAG